AAATCTCATATTCTTGCTTTGACCACAGGCATTTTTCCAGTAACTTCTAAACTCAACTGCCTTGGAGAAGATATTTGGAAGCCGTAGTACAGCTTATTCCTGATGCACCGGTTTATCTGACTGTACCTAGGTACCTCATTCCAGATGCCATCAAGAGCTGGTCAAACGAATGATGGAAGGACACCTTGGGATGCCTACTGTCCAGAAAATACTGTACGACCACAGATTTTAGAGTACAACCTCTTGGGATTCTTCACAGGCATTGCACAAGTAAGAAACGGTGCTCAGTTCAGGGAGAAGAGCTCTCCGTGCAGACCCAGAACAACAGTGAAGTACAACGGCGTGGCAGCTCCCGAGTTTCACCGCAAACATAGCAAGGTTTTCTAAGCCATTTTAGAGCTGCTACAACAGCCTCACGAGTCCTTCAAGAAAACTCACTCATACAGAGTGATGGAAAATTACGCTCTTGTGAAAAATGTTAATACAAAAACCTAGTTTTGCAATAGCTGCACTAGAAACACTCAGTCTCACGTACATGTATTCTAGCAATTTGAAGTCGTACAAAAAACAAAAAGAACCATCCTGGAATGAATAAAGTTGGAATGAGAAACAGAAGCAGGGACTACCCTGCACAGGGCACAAGAAGTGAATTATGATGTTTCTTTCAGGACTAGTAAGGGTATGCAAAGTGCAAGTGTGTGTCATTGTCAACCTCTGGCTTACCAGCAATAACAAAAGCCTCCAGGGTACGTTTGCACGGTGCATAGCAAGATGATTTCACAACACAGTACCTTTGAAAAGGAATATTTCTATTCTTCTTCTCATTTTGAAAAACTGGGCTTACCTTGACCTGGGGTTCTTTTTTTCATGCTCCTCTGAGCTAAGCAAATTCAGCTTAACTTACTAAAATGGTAGAAATACATTGAACAAACACAGTTTCCTGCCATTTTGGAGAATTCAGCTCACAGGAGTGAGCTCCAGTGTCAGAGCCACCATCACCAACAGGAAAGGGAAGAAAGAAAGAAAAGAACCTCCTTCCTCCAGCAGGAGCAGAAAACTTAGAAATGGTAGACCTGCCCTTGAAATTGCAGCCAGAGATAATACCATAATTTTTCCCTTTCCTTGACCCTTCCCCCAGTTAACTGGGAAAAGTAAGAAGTATATTCCAACACACAAACCAAAATTCACTGTTGGCCTTTCTGCCTCTCCATGCCAAGGCTTCTTAGTGTTAAACCTGCACACTCACCCAGATGCCCTTCAGCTTTCAAGAAGGGAGTCGTAAAGGACCAACTGAGTCACTGTGTTCTTTAACCCACAAAACCGAGCAACCATGCCATAGCCCCAAATCAGATTTTTATTTTAAACAAGGTACAGGGGGAAAAGCCACTCATTTTCAAGAAAAGCTGTTTAATAAGGATGTTTCTTTATTTCAAAAATAAGTCTTGAAAGTGCCAGTGTTTTTGTAACTCACTCAGCCTGGTCAACACCAGTTTTAGCTGCAGTTCTCATTAGACAGTAGTACAGTGCTTCCATACCTGCACTTTTAGGGAAACAGTACTCTCTTCCAAAATATATTTGTTTAAAAGTAAATAATGTTTATACAATCAAGAGAATTATACTGATAACAAACCTTACATGAAGTTTATAATACTGTGATACTTCCAGGCGTGTAAGTCCTAACTTAAATTAAGCTCTAACTTAAACAAAGAAAGAAAGAAAAAAAAAAGAAGTAAAATAAATTCTAAAAGGTAGCTTTAGTCCGTAAGCTTATGCACCAGAGGATAACAATACTAGATATACTAGAGAGGGTGAGAGGAGCAGTGCAGTTTTTCTAACCTAGGCATTTAATAGTATCACCCTTGCAGACTGCACTCCCTTGGTTTTGGTCAAACAACGTTCCCTGTTGCTGGAATGAGGCCTCCAAAGCACAACACGGAAGAGAAAGAAAAAAATAATAATTAAAAACAATAATGATAACCCAGCGGGCGCAGAGCGGGCCCCCGCGGGCGCAGGGGCGCTCTGGCGCCGCGGCAAGGCGCGCTCTCGCGCGGGCTCACACGTGCG